TGAGTATAGACGCGTTGATAAAATTCTGATACCGTCTGGTTGCCCTGTACTAGAGACGTCATTTGGTACTCGAGTGTAGTGACATCTCGTTTGACAGCGTAATGAGTCGTCAAGCATTTACTACATCTGGAATTCTGTCCAGTTCGTTCTTGTTATTCCCCTCGATGTTTACTGGTTAGTCCCTGGGTTTAACATTTCTTCTATAATTCTCTGTACCATTACTCGTATTTCATCCTGCAAACCGGCCATATTGATGGGAAGGACTTGATTCTGCTGCTGGTTTGCAGATGCGTTTAAAATGGGGGGTCTTACAAGGTTATTTGGATTAACCATTTTTTCTTTTTAAATTTTAGTTCAACAGTAGTTCTTTCAATAAAATGTATTATTTGTAATTTCTGTTAATTGTTTTTAATTACAAAAATGTTTAATTTTGTAAGAAGTTTTTTACCTAAGAATGATTGATTTTAACAATTATTTCTTATTAATTAATTTTTATTTTTATTTTAGTTTTCTTAGATATCTTTTTTTAAATTATTATTAAAGAACGATATTTGAATTTATTTACTTTACTCGAATTTATTTTAATTTTTTACTTAAATTTCAGTATTTCTAAAAATGCTTGATTTTAATTATTTAGAATTGACTTTTTTTCTTATTTTTATTTTAAAGTTTATTCCTTTTGTTTTAGGATTTTAATTGTTTAATTTGATTATCTATTTCTTTCGATTTGTTTTACTTTCACTTAATACTACTTACATTGTACAATACATCCTGGACTGGCAGGCAGGTAGTCTTCCTTTTCGCTGATCTTCTGGGGTACCTCTTCCAGCACCACCGAACCAGTTGTTTGCGACCAACGTCTGCAGAACGATGTAAGTGAGTTCGCTTGCTTCTTGGACTTGATTGTTTCGCTGGAGCAGCCAATTTGGCGCGTTTATTAGCGGCAGTTCGTTTTAATCCTTGACAGCGAAATGGGTGCTCTAATGGGATTTTTTTTCGGTTTCTCAGTTCACTACGGATATGATGAAAAACTTTTTTCGAACGTGATCACAATAGCCAGGACAGCCAATCGGGTGCACTTACAGGTTGCGCGTACTTCGCGTTGTTTAACTGCACTTTAGTACCGCGCACAAGCCCTTTTTAACCTTGGGCGGTAGTTAACTCATATAGAAAATATATTTCCTTAATTGATGTTGCGACCATAAGGTCTTTATTTATTGAATTTATTGAATGCAAAAACAACTAATTTTAGTTTCAGTTATCCCTACCTAACTTTGCCTGCCCACCCATGCTGCTGACCTCGGTGCTGCTCTGCTCACGGATGTTGGGCAGACGCTACGTCTGCACATTTATGTTGTGCAGGTGCAGCGTATCTTTCGCAAGTGTTGCGCAAGCGGTTACGCGTGCAGCTCCAAATGTTCTTATCCAAAGAATGAGCAGTCCAGCCGCTGCCAACATCTGCGGGCAGCGCAGCCACGACCGATTTGATTTTAAATTCATTCAACATCTATTCTTCAAAGGTAGCAGAACCTTTTCTACAGTTCCTGAGATCGAGGCGTTCATACGGACAGACGGACATGGCCAGATCGACTCGGCTATTGATTCTGATCAAGAATATATGTATATACCTTATGTGGTCGGAAAGATTTCCATCTTCCTGTTTCAGAATACCCTCTAGTATACTCTTTTACTCTACGAGTAACTGTTATAACAAGATAGAATGCTATAGTCGAGTTCTCCGACTATCAGATACCCCTTACTCAGTTAGTGAAAGTGCAATCGAGAAATTTCACCATATTCTGGAATATCAGCAGAAATTGGGAAAAAATCAATAAAATGAAAAAAAAAAAACAAATAGAATGCTATAGTCGAGTTCCCTGACTATTAGATATCCGTTATTCAATTAGGAAAAGTGCAAACGAGAAATTTCACCATTTTCTGGAATATCGGCAAAAATTGGAATAAAAATAATACATGAAAAGAAACTAACAATATTTTAAAAGTGCGGGCGTGAGAGTTTGATGCGGCTTAGAGTGGGCGTGGCAAACCGTTTTTTGGGAAATCGATAGAAATTTACAGAACTAATAAAAAGGTGAAAAATATCACATTTTTCCGAAAATGAGGCCACATTTTTGGGCGGTTTGTGGGCGTGGCAGAAAGTTGCTTGGCAAATCTGTCGAAATTTACAAAATATATATAAAAAAAGAATAAATATCACAACATTTTTCAAAAGAGTGGGCGTAGCAGTTTTAGACGGTTTGGGCGTACAAAAAAGTTTTTTTGCAAACTTATATAATTTTACAAAATAAAATAATGAAAAATATCACAGCTTTTTCAAAAGTGTGGCCGTGATAGTTTTGTGCGGCTTGTGGGCATTAGAGTGGCAAATCTATAGAAATTTACAAAATATATTATATAAAAAGTTGAAAATATATCAAAACTTTTTTTAAACGTGTTGGCGTGACAGTTTTGGGCGGTTAGTGGGCGTGGCAAACATTTTTTTGCCTTGAACAAATCGATTTACGTATGCCATTATCCGTAGGAGCTTATTAAATGATGAACATTTTTCAACAAGCTCAAAGACATCCGATTGGTTTATTATGACGGAACACGCCACGCTTTTCTTGTTTTCAGACAATTGTAACTCCGGTGAAAGTTCAATGTAATGCGACCGAAGCCACTCGTTTAGTCAAGAAATCTGGTCCACTTTCCCAAAGTCCACCTTCAACCATCGATATCTGTTCCACGTGATACCAAATCGGCTGGATTCTCTTCTGTGACGCCAAACTGCATTCTCTGTGAGTTCTTGGATTTCAGAAACTCTATTTGCAACAAATGTTGCTTGAGTGGATGGATCCCTCTTTAACCAGCATAATATGACTTGGTAGTCCGACCATAAGTAAATGCAAACTCTAATTTGTTAAGCAAAGAAGATACTTGAGACCATAGGTTTGCCAACAGATGTGCTGCACACAGCTCGAGCCTTGGAATTGATATATTTTTATTGTTTTAAGTGGACACTTGTTTTAAGACACTCTCAACTTTGCGGGTAGCAGTCTTGACAACCTATTTGTCCCAGCCACGGCACGAATATAAATGCAACAACCATAGGCGTGGCTCGATGCATTAGCAAATCCGTGAACTTGAACAGGGTCACAGGCAGCCAGACAGATATATCGAGGAATGGATATCTTTTCAATTGCTAATAAATTCAGCTTAAATTCGTTTCAGCTGGTATGCAAATTCATGGGAACCGATTCGTCCTAATCTAATTTTTGTCGCCACAGTTCCTGAAGCAAGATTTTTGCCCTTGTAATCAACAATAATCCCAAAGGATCAAACAAACGAGCTGTGACGGACAAAATGTTGCGTTATGTTGGTTTGGAGAGCTTGAGTCGATTTCTCCCTCCACACGATAAGTTGGAAATCCATATCTTCATTTGAAATGAAAATTTGTCTATACATCTTTGAAATGTATAACGACCAGACGAGAGCCTTTGTACGGTATTCCCAAAGTGCTGCTCAGCCTTCGATCTCTCCGGAACGTGTTCCAATTCCCAAAAACGTTTCACCAGAGGGTCGAGAGAACTTTTATTATCATTAACAACGACGCCGCATACCTGAGCGTTATTCGATGCGCGTTGAGTGTACTTTCCCGAAACAATCCATCCTAAAAAATTTTCTGGAGTGAAGGATGTTCAGAGCCCAATTTGATTTGGCCTGCGCTCAGAAGTTCGAAAGAAGATTCTGCGCCTATTAGTAAATCCACTTTTGCGGTCTTGTGAAAACGAAGGTCTGCCAATTCAATGTTTGCTGGAATTCTCCATTGGGCACAATTGACTTAATGATCAGGTTGATATGATGAAATTGAGCTTAACACCAAAAAATTTAGATTCAGACAATTAATGCACAAACAATTGAAATCGAACCGTTGAATAACTGACAGAGCCATGACAGGTTAACATCTGACTAAACTATGATTTGTTGCTGAGCAATATCGAAATTTTTGTTCAGGTCTGCGATCAGTTTATGTGCCAGAGAAGGACGATTTGGGGTATCACTTATTGGAACCTAGGTTCCTTTTACTTTTGGTTGACTCCTCAGCAGCTTAATGTTGGTATCTCAACTGTTGGTGATTCAACTGAATTGCACAATCAGCGTGTTATAATCTAGATGTTAATCCAATCGGGATTTTGTAGTGTGATCTACCTTGGACATTGCTGTATGAATAAAAGTTGCGTTATTTATTTCCTTTTCACTACCCAGTGACTGTATCGATGCATACAGAGCCGATATTTCATTACAAGAGACCTCAAACCTGATGCAGACGGTTTTGATACTGAAGGAGGTCAAACAATTGAGAAATTGTGTTGAAAAAGATTACGCATTTATTGTCGTACACATTTTTCATAATTCAAATCCGAAATTTGAAATGAAATTTAAAACGCCTTGACAGTTCTTAATGCATCATCTGTAAGACATGTAGCAAATGGTTGAACTTTTATATATTTGTTAAAGACTGGTTGTTACGCACCAAGCTATTAAAAATACCTATAAAATTATTGAAGTCGGAATGTTTTCATTCATTTTTGTAAATGGATCGGATGACGAGAAGCACTGATTTTCCCTTGACTAAGTCTCTGAGGCTCGACTCCTCTCATTGCGGACCGATATAACGCCTTTGTAATTATACACATATCCTCAACAGACGCTTGTAAATCATTAACTGGATTCACCACGTCGATGTCTGCATGAATATCCATCATTTTTTTGCAATACGTTTCGAGAAGTTGCATTCGGTATTCCAGTTAAAAACTATCGAAAGAAATTTTTTTTCCTCAAATGCAATTCTCATACGTCTAATGTTACTTATAAGCGTGCCGTGTTTTTGCATATCCAACATTATTTTAGTATTAGGCTTTGTCGGTACTTCCTTGTGTTTTTCCATTTTGAATTTAATTAGAATAAAAATAATTCAAATAATAATAAAAGTCCCTCACCTGGCTTAAATAAATCCCACTCGTAAATGCTCATTTAAAAACTTTCTGAGATCCACTTGAATCATTTACTGGGCCAGATTAAAGAATTGCATTACTACGATGGCCAGGTCGAAGAACTGCTCAATCTATATTCCTCCCAAGAAGCCAGGCAGGCACATGTAATATATGGAGCGGTGAAACGCCTGATCACGGTCTCAGCGCTAGAAGTTGTAATACAAGCAAGAGCAACGACATGGATGGAAATTAAAACAACTTTAGCAACATAATTCAAGGACCATAGACCATACGTAACCCTAGTCAGACAACTGGTAACGACATACCCCGGTAACATTAGTAAGCTTATAGAAAAATTAGAATTACAATATTGGAATATTTGTGATAAACTAGAATTAGAAAATGACCCTATTGATAAGTTAAACTACACTAAAATGCTAAAAGGAACGATTAAAAGTACAATAGATCGAAAATTGCCAGGTAGAATGTACAAGCTAACACGATTCTACGTACGAGAAATCGTTCTCATTTTCCAGAGGGCATACATTGAAATCATATGCCCTAGCAGTTTCACCAAATTGCAAAGATGTACCAAAAAGCTAGTAGATATCTTAACCTATGCCGAATTTAAAGACTTAATATTGAAAAGGAATAAAGAAGTTTTGCATCGAGGAATAGAAAAAACGACTAACTGGTTTAAAGAGAATACTATTTCCCAGATAGCCAAAAATTAATACAGAACATCATTAACGAGTGTGAAATCAATAACAAAGCGAAAACAGAACACAGAAATACAAAATTGGCATTTGAACCAACTCCGGAAATATTCAACGTAAGAGAAAAATACGTAGTTAATTTTTATCTCACCGGAAACCAAATATTTCTATCATGCAAATACGTCTATTTGAAATTTGCATCCCTCATTTAGTTGAAAAGTAGAGATTGGTTAGAAGCAAAGGCAGCCATAACGAAAATATTTAATGACATGGGAAAACCACAGGAGATGAAAGAGGATAAAGACTTAGCATTCAGCATTAGCTCTGCAGAATTGGTTAAGATCCGAGGGCGTAAACATATCCGTCACTACAAGTAAAAACGGAGTGTCCGATATAGAGAGGTTCCATAAGACCGTAAACGAGAAATTGAGAATCATTGGCAGCGAACAAAATATTGAAGATAGATGTACAAAATTTGAAACAATCCCATTTGTCTACGATCACAAAACTAAACAAAACACTACCAAAAGAACTCCGGCAGATATCTTTTTTATGCAGGAAGCTCAGACTTTAATAAAAAATAAAATCGACAAAATCAACAGACTTAATGAGAAGAGACATGATTTTGCAATTAACATGAGATATAGACAAGCCACACTTGTAAAAAGCAAGGAACTAACACGGGAAATCGATGGAATGAGAATTATTAAACAAAGTATAAGAGGCCTTTTAAATGTAGTAGGAACAGCGTATACAAATTATGTTTTAGTTATTTCCCTGGGTTGTCCCACGCCTCAGTCCGACGGGAAGGGGTGATGACGTCAGTCCGACTTGGTTGGCCTCTCGATCGGGGAGGGGAGCGGAGATCTTCTCTGCTCGTGATGCGCAACGTTTCGTTGCGCAGCTTGGTATAGGTTTAGTATAGGTTGGGAGAACTTTCTCCGTTATTGACTGCCCTTAAGGCTAGCCAACCAATATAAAATATGCAGCCTTCGCTGGAGTAGGATTCTTGAGCGTGTGCTCTTTATTATAATTGAAATCAAACTGAGCTTATTCTATTTTACTTCAGCTATTCGCGGCCGGCAAGCCGACCGCTCGTCCAGCACAGTGCTGACACTAGCAAAAACTGCATATCTCCCAATACTGGAAAACCGTTGGGAACCAGGCACGGCCCCTAAGGCTTTTATGCTGAATCTGCATATAATATACTAGGGTAGCGACCCTGAACTTATACCGACTTAAGTTTACTCATTAACCGTGTTAACTACTCCCCCTTGAAGTATGACCGTCCTCGGTCATCTGGAACTTGTCAACGACCTTTTATATTTCCCTCGCATCTCGTCTCCTCCTCAACACCAAGATGAGCAGGATGGAGCAGCTAATGAAGACGCTGATTCCCACGCCGACTGCAAACCAGATGTCAGTAGTTCCAGCCGATTTCGCTTTCTCCTTAAGCCCTTGGATAACCTCCAAATTTTCGTTATTGATCCTTTGGAGAAGTGGTATGCTTAGCGTGGGATCGTGGCCGATGATGTTTAGCAATGGGGACGCAGCCATGCCCGGTATTTTTCTTAAGGCTTCACGTAGGTTAGCGTATTTGGTGACGTTGATGAAAGCCACTCGCTCGAACATAATTAGATGTGAGCCGTTGGTATCTATTTCAGGACCGTCGTCAGTGCTGACTTTAGCTGGGCAGTCGTTGATTATTATTACGCCGTCGTCTACCAGTGTGATGGGGCTTAAATGGCTGGCCTGCGTTTTGCATAGTGCAGTGCTCCCCGCGTGCAGGCCTCGAGCGCAGGTATCGTGGTTAGCCAGCTTACAGTACGAAGCGTAAGTTGTTGATACGCAATCGGTGACGGCCAGAACGTCGTTGTTGCATTCCGCAACTATGTTCTCTATTAGTTGCAGAATGATGTGTTGGTGTGTTACAGGAAAAATTGTAACCTTTCTCCAAGTGGCTTTAATATTAGGATATGCAATTATCACATGGATAATACTATCGGACTGGAAGACTTTAATATTAGATGCCTCTATTAAGCTTATAACGGGGACTTCTGTGGGGTGATCAATTAATACAGACTTCAAATCGTTATGGTTAAGAATGGCAGGGTTTATGATATTGGCTTTAGCCAGTGTGACGGTAAGCATTCAATTTTGAATTTCGGTTATTAGTATTCTGTTTCTAGCCACAGTACCTTGTACCTCGTACAAGTGGGGAGTGTCAACCATATTATTTTGTTTTGCTCGAATGATTTTGTTAACTGCTTCTGTTAATTCGTTAATCTTGTTTTGAGTTTGCGTATTAATGACCACTTGCCTATTATTTGACTCTATTAATCGAGATTCGGATATTTTTAGCATTTCAAAATCGGCGGCATCGGGGGTGCCTGCTATTACCATAAGTGCGGTGCCTAGAAAGTCTAGGCTTCTGGCAATCCTATGATGTACTTTCAATACGGACAATAAACTTCTGAGATGGTCGGTATCGACGTCTAACAATTTTCGCATATGCGACTCTGGAAACAGCTCGGACAACCTACTAGTCTCTTCTATCATCATTTCGAATTCGGACAAATTACTGGAATGCCAAAGCCAATTTCTCTGTTTCCACACCAGTGCAACACCGTCTGTTATGGGGATGTAATTAGCATGAGAGTAGTCCGTAACCCTAGCGTTAACTATAGCTAACGTAATTAATATGATTCCGGCAATCCGGTAAGAAAGCGGAAGGATAAATTGAATGCTTAAATATAAGGTGCATGAATAAAGACATAAAAATTGTGGGAGATGTAAATTCAAGAGGGAATTTTTTATCTAAGGTTGTCCTTATGGACCACCCTCCCTCTAATGAGGACAGACGTTCCCATGTCTGCTTCTATACGCTCTTCTGTGTAGAGTGCGGTTAGTTTATTTCCTAACCTTTTATTGTTTCTGAGGTAAACCTTTTCACCTACCTCGGAAATTCGGTTTTGCCTAGTAGGGTTACACCTCGCTAGGTTAGCCTGTTGCGCTTTTATGATACTGGTTTTTATTGCCAGCCTCTGAGCGTTGTTTGCCGAATGTAAGGCATGTTTAGGTTGCAAATTTGTGACTGAGTGTAACGTATTGTTATACTCTACCGTGGCTCTTATGATGAGCTCGACGGTGTCGTCAACTTTTTTGTCAATTTTAATGCACCTAGCTATTTCCGATAGGGTGCTGTGGAATCGCTCCACTTGCCCGTTGGAGCTTCTGTGTAAAGGGGGTGCAGTAACGATGTCAATGTCATATTGGTTTTTCAATAACGAAGTTATGGTCTCCGAATTGAAGGATGCCTCATTATCGCAGTATATGGTTTTGGTATTTGGAAAAAAATTTACCAATTGTACCAGGGGCAGCGTACGTCAACTATGGCCCTAGAATTTAATGGCTGTACTACGGCGAACTTTGAGAATTTATCCACACAGGTTAAGAATAACTTTTTATCCGTGGAGTAGATGTCTATATGCAGCATTTCGCCCGCATATGAAGGAATTGGGGTGATACCCAATTCTTGCTTCTTGGGGTGCCTGTTGTACTTGGCCTTGGTACATGTCTTGCAATTTATAACCACCTCGTTGGCGAGTCTTGCCATATTTGGAAAATAGTAGTCTTGAAGGACTTGTTTAAAATTTTCCTGGGCAGCCCTTTGGGCGCGGTTATGCTCGCATGTAATAATTTCCCTCTGCTCATTAGCATCAGTGATATCATTAACGAAGTTTTTGCAATGCCAAAACTTGGTTGCTGGGAATTCCGTAACCAAGGCATGCTGGATGCATGCTAGTGTGGGGAGGTTGCAGTTTACGTTTACAACTTCTTTAATCGATCCAAGCAGCGAGTCCTTCTTATTAAAGCTTATAATGTGTCGGTTTTTGTTTCCAAAAACAATAAAATGTCGCCGTGAGGGCTGGCCTGATTCTTCCAGGATTATTTGATTCCTGTAACAGTTCAAAGGTTTATCGTTGGTTTCGACCGTATAGGTCAGAGACAGTTCACTATGCACAGTGGCTGCGTCGGAATGGGGTTCACTTTCCAAGGCATTAATTTTCTGACGAGACAAGGCGTCGGCCACAAAATTTTCCTTTCCAGGCTTATAGAAGCGTTGAAGCATCTTTGGCGTTGTGTTCTTCGATGAATGCTTTCCATCGTTTTATTTTATCGTTAGTGTTCCGCTCGGACACAGCGAAGGTGAGCGGCTGGTGGTCCGTGTAAATCCGGATTTCTCTGGTGCCATATAGGTAATTTTGCAATTTCCCAATAGCCCATACAATTGCTAGTAACTCCCTTTCGTTTGTTGCGTAATTAACCTCGCAGTCTTTTAATGTGCGAGATATCATTGTGATTGGTCTGCCCTTTTGGGATAGTACCGCTTGCTGAGGCATCGGTTGTCAAAACGAAAGGAAGTGTGAAGTTTGGATAAGTTAGTATCACATCTTCAGATGACAGAATATCTCGCAGGCGCTCAAACGCTCTGCGTTGGGTATCGTCAACATGTGTTTACTAACAGTGCCATTCTCTCCCTTAAGTATGGAGGTAAGTGGTCTAGCTATAGAAGCGAAGTCTTTGACAAAACTTCTGTAGTAACTAGCCAATCCAAGAAAAGACCTGAGGCTGAACAAATTTTTTGGTTCAGTGTACTCTTGTATGGTTTTTACCTTTTCCGGATCTGTTTTGGCTCCGTTTGATGTGACAATAAAACCTAAGAATTCAACATTTTCTTTGAAGAATTTGGTTTTTTCTGGGGCCACTCTCATGTTGGCTTGATACAGGCATTTAAGAACTGTGTCAATGCGTATGACGTAGACGTAACAAATTTTCCCGATTTGCTCGCGAAGCACGTCGTCAATCGCCCTTTGGAAGATGCTTCCTGCATTCTTTAGTCCAAAAGTAAGGCGGCAAAATTCATACTTTCCTCCGTTTATGGAGAAAGCAGTTTTTCGCGGTCTTTCTCAGCCAGATAGATCTGGTGGTATCCCGATTTTAAGTCTAGGGTAGTAAAAAACTATGCCTTTCCTAAGTTCGCTAGAATCATAGGAATACTTGGCATAGGGAACCGATCGGCGATGGTTCGTTCATTAAGTTTCCTGAAATCGATCACCAGCCTCTTTGTTGCCGACGGCATCGGTCCCTTTTTTGTCAACAACCCATGTGGAGCTGTTGAATGGTGACCTTGAAGGCCGAATAATGCCATCCTTTAACAGCTGTTTGATTTCTGTGGTAACAAAATCCGCTGCTCCCATAGTATAAGGATTTAGCTTCGAGTATACGGGTTCGTTAGCCTCCGTACGAATTGTGGCAATGATCGAGGTGTTAAATGGAAGCGCCTCGTTAGAGTGCAAAAACATTTGTTTCCTCTTAAGGATCATTTTTTTAAACTCAGCTTTTACTAAACTTGGGACTTCCACGTCAGAAGTCAGAAGTCCGATGCATTTTTGTCAAGTCGCACACAAAACTTTATGGCGTACCGCTGTTCCACCGAACGCTCCATCGCACCGTGACACAACAGAAAAAATGACTTCGCTCTACGACACGTCCTACCACTTCTATTGCTCAGAGCGAACTGAGACCGAGCGCGTTGGAAAGGAGAGACTCCGCCCCAAATTTTTAGACAGGTCCGAGCGTGCTACGACAGGTAGTTACGTGACAATGAAACCATGCGCATTACTTTCATAACGCACCCTGTAGATATTTGTGAAATTTACAGTATCGCATTCGTGGTATTTTAACTTTTCAGACACATTTCCGTACCTGATTGCGCTGTTGGGTAGAACGCCGTTAGTTGCAGAATGATGTGTTGGTGTGATACAGGAAAAATTGTAACCTTTCTACAAGTGGCTTTAATATTAGAATATGCAATTATCACATGGATAATACTATCGGACTGGAAGACTTTAATATAAGATGCCTCTATTAGGCTTATAACGGGGACTTCTGTGGGGTGATCAATTAATACAGACTTCAAATCGTTATGGTTAAGAATGGCAGGGTTTATGATATTGGCATTACTTTCATAACGCACCCTGTAGATATTTGTGAAGTTTACAGTATCGCATTCGTGGTATTTTAACTTTTCAGATACATTTCCGTACCTGATTGCGCTGTTGGGTAGATCTAATGCCGCTCTGGCCTGCGTTAGAAAGTCGAAACCTATTATGGCATCAAATGTTCTAATAGTGTCAAGTAAAAAGAATGGGGCCGTTAGGCCATATATGTGCATTAAGCATTTTCTGTTTACTCTACTGGAGCCATGAATGGAACGACAATGGAGTCGACAAGAGTTATGTTTTTCAGCTCCCTTAGGGGCTTTACATAATTTTTTGCTGCTCCGGTATCTATGAGAATTTTTAAAACTCTCCCCGCCAGCCTTCGTTTAATGAAGGGCAAGCGGGACCTTCCTCTAAAAAATTAATAATGTCATTGCACTCCGAGTAGTCAATGTCGTCGTCAATCGCATTAAAAGCGGCTGCAGCCGCGTTTTCATAATCATTCTCTTCAACCTTAAAAACCCTTTGGCGCCTTTGGCCAGAATTTCTCTCAGAAGAGTTTGATCTTTTAGGGGCATGTTTATTACTTTCCTGCCTAAAGTACATTGGATGTCGAAATTTTGAAGATGATGGATCTATGTCCATTGGTTCTGGGGATTGATTTTGTTTGTGTAGATCACGGTCCCAGTCATTATGTTTGCGCCATGAACCGGTATTTTGATTCTTGTTTGGCTTTTTGAAATAATAGGGGTTATTTTCTGGTCCGCGGTCGGCACCAAAATTTTTGCGTTGTTTTTCAGGCGCACGGTGTTGGCTCTTGTGGAAATCAGTATTCTGATTTCTTTGCTCCACCGCCTTGGCGTATGTAGCCGCGAACATACTTCTATCGATACTGGGATCTGCCTCTCTTGCTAATGCCAGTGCTGCTGGCAGGTATTTGGGCTGTGCTGGAAAGACAACAGCCCTTAGGGATTTTTTTAGACCTTAAATAAATACGTGTAGGGCATCAGCCCTAACCTCTGTATTAAGCAATGTCGCTCTTTCGTCATCATATGTCATGACGATTTTGTTAGTAACGATTTTCAATTTTCGTTCGACCTCATCGTAGTATTGCATTAGGGTCTGGTCGCCCTGACGAACCGACTCGAGACCCTGTCGTAATAGGCGCAAGGTTGTCTTGTCTGCATAGGAGCAAAATGGCTTGAAAGTTAAGCACTGTGTTATGTGAAACTAGCAGCGCGCGAGTTACCACAGTCACCACACCCCCTAAACCCCCACGCCTACACCACTGAACACATCGACGCCCATGGGCACTCCGGTACAACGAACCGGGAAACGAATAAACAAATGAGTCAACAATGTATCTACAACGTATCGACATCCGGCCAAATGCTGACACTAACATCAGCAGACCAGACGGCAAGAATGCCGATGCAGCATAAGAACCTAGCATAACCCTTATATATAAGAACTATGTACTTAGATTTGTAGGCTTCTTGAGAAGAACGAAAGAAATATAGAATTACTCTTAAGTTTGAACCCAAAGCGTGAAGTTGTGTTACTGAATCCCATACAAGTGCCTGAACAAAATCTCATGCAAAGTGCCGACAGCCGACTATAAGCGAACCACCCAACATCTTTACTGCTGTTATATTCACCTCCCATCATTCGGCCCGAATGGTAACTGGCGCAGCCGGTAGGATGCTTTCCTACATCTATACATTAACTTACCTGTAAGTAAAGAAAAATGTAAAAACAAAGCATAAGTGATAGCTCAATAAGTAAAGAATCTTAAATAAAAAGGGAAAAATATATTCTGCTACAGTGACAACAAAATGTAAACAGTGAGTTGTGAGCTGCACACGGTGACGTATAAGTGCTTGGGTAAAATTAAAAAGAAAAATATTTAAACATAGCCAACAGACAACCCAAGTAATATGCGCGAAATTGTTTGCAGCGAACAACGCATTGGGTCAGCAAAATAAAAAAAAAAGAAAGAATTTTTTTTATCGCATAACATGTTACAACACAAATTTTTTTTACTTTTCTGCTATTGTGACGACAAAATATAAACAGTGAATTGTGAGCTGCACATGATGACGCATAAGTAAAGTTTAAAAGAAAAATTATTAAAGCATAGCCAACAAACAAACCGAGTAATGTGCGCTAAATTGTGTGCAGCAAACAACGCATTGGGTCAGCAAAATAAGTAAAAAATAGCCACGGTATAACAAATTTAATAGTCTCTACCTAAAATTCCACGGCCCAAGGTATCCCCTACAATGGCAAATAGAATATCAAACATAACCATATATTACTTAATAAACTATCTTGCAATTATGTCACAACTCACATTAAATCACTGCAAATCAAATACTCTATGATATGGGTCTTATGCTATACGGCTCACGAAACAAGCGTGTTTCGTGCCGCTGTGGCAGACCACCCATGCATACATATATATATACCTAAATACACAATATGCACACAAGCTTGCAACCAACGTATATACACACATATACACCAAATTACGCACACAAGCCTGCGAACCGATACTCTATGATATGGGTCTATGCTATACGGCTCAGGGTACAAGCTTGTGCCTTGATGCTGTGGCATATCACGCATATACGCATAGATATCCAACGTATATACACATATATACACCAAATTACGCACACAAGCCTGCGAACCGATACTCTATGATATGGGTCTATGCTATACGGCTCAGGGTACAAGCTTGTGCCTTGATGCTGTGGCATATCACGCATATACGCATGGATATCCAACGTATATACACATGTATACACCAAATTACGCACACAAGCCTGCGAACCGATACTCTATGATATGGGTCTATGCTATACGGCTCAGGGTACAAGCTTGTGCCTTGATGCTGTGGCATATCACGCAAATACGCATAGATATCCAACGTATATACACATATATACACCAAATTACGCACACAAGCCTGCGAACCGATACTCTATGATATGGGTCTATGCTATACGGCTCAGGGTACAAGCTTGTGCCTTGATGCTGTGGCATATCACGCATATACGCATAGATATCCAACGTATATACACATGTATACACCAAATTACGCACACAAGCCTGCGAACCGATACTCTATGATATGGGTCTATGCTATACGGCTCAGGGTACAAGCTTGTGCCTTGATGCTGTGGCATATCACGCATATACGCATAGATATCCAACGTATATACACATATATACACCAAATAACGCACACAAGCCTGCGAACCGATACTCTATGATATGGGTCTATGCTATACGGCTCAGGGTACAAGCTTGTGCCTTGATGCTGTGGCATATCACGCATATACGCATAGATATCCAACGTATATACACATATATACAATAAATCACGCACACAAGCTTGCGAACCGATACTCTGTGATATGGGTCCTATGCTATACGGCTCATGATACAAGCTTGTGTCATGACGCAGTGGCATACCACGCATATACACATAGATATTCAAACACAGTATATGTACACATGCTACAACCAATAAATACGCTTATACATATAACCATAAAATTACTGCAATACGAAAAAACAATGAGACACTTTACCCCAACCTACCCTAACAATTAAAGTTTATACGCTTCCACTCGAGTACCGAATGGCTAATGTAACACAATACCAATAGTCACGCCGTCAGCATAAACAAACAATTTATACTCTTGCACACCAAATACAATATGTGTTATGCGATTATACTTGTACATATATATACGAATACGTATATGCATAGTGAGTGGCCAAGCCTATCGAGTCAAAATTCTTTCTTTTTTATAATCGTCGACATTCACTTATGCTATGTTCCGAATACTATAAACTATGTATACAACAATTTTATAATACCAACTATATTACAGATATTGAATCACATAAAAACCATACAAACCTATATACATTAAGAAATTTATACGCACAAATACAATATATACATATACAATACAATACATACTTATACACACTTATAAAAAATTCCACATTATATTAAAACTTGTTCATTATTTTCTTTAATATAAATTCCACATCAGAAACAAATTTTTTTTTAATTAGGTTAAATGTCCAAGAAATTAACTCAGAATAAATGGATTAGGCAGTCTCGTGAAAGCTGTCACGGGCAATATGGATGCCGAAGACGCCAGAGAAATAGGTAAAGACATCGAAAATATTAAAATAGCCCTTTCGACCGTTAACACAAATTACCAAACTCAAGATGTATTCAATAATGAAATTTTAATTAGATTCGAGAACATTACAAATCATATTAATAATGAACAAGTTCTAATAACAACATTCTTTGAAAATATGCAAAATAAAATTTATAAAGAAGAAAATACCTTGGAAAAATTACAGTATATAAATAGGATTAACTATAACTTAGAATTACTACTTAATCACTTGAACGATATAATTGAAAGCATGTTATTAGCTAAAATAAATGTAATACCTAGATTTATATTAACCGAACAAGAAATATATAAAATTAAAATGTTACTGGAAAATCAAAATATTACGATAAAAAGCGAACAACACATTTACGATTTGTTAAAAATGAACACGTTAAGCTACGAAAATAACATAATTTTTACTATCCAAATACCTATTTTTGAAAAAGATAATTACAAAATAGCCAGATTAATTCCCTTACCAATTAATAATAAATACTTTGTTATGATTCCTAACTATTTAATATATAAGAATAATGTTAATAAGTACTACTTGACTCAAAACTGCCCCAAAGTAGACGACACGTTTATATGCAACAAAGACGCATACATCAACACACCGCAAAATGACACCTGCACTCAACAATTATTGGATTCCAAGAACAGCTCCTGCGATGTGCAAGAGAGAGGCCCTGTTGCAGACGTATTCGAGGCGGAAAAAGGCTATATTTTCGCATTCAACGCCAATAACCTGAAGGCTCAGCTAAAAAACGGTAGCGAAATCACTATAAATGGCTCAGCTATCATCAAATACGTGAACGAAACTATACGCATCAATGGCATAGAGTACGACAACGGAGTTGAGACAACCTTTGAGCACTTAGACCTAATCCTACCCCCCCTTAAGGAAATGACCAGGAATAAAACTGTGGAAATACTGAGTTTACAAAACATTCACCTAGAGGCCATAGAAACATCAAATAAGATTCTGACTATCCACCAAACCGCCACACAACACGCTTGGACCCTTTACATTCTACTGGGTTTCGTCGCCATCCTCACTGTTACTGCATGGCTGCATCGACGCACAAAACACGTATTCCACGTACAGGATCACAATCACCACCTGCCTATTTACGCTCCAGCAATACCTTCGCTATGGCCGTCGCTTCAAACTGGGGAGGGAGGAGTTACCACAGTCACCACACCCCCTAAACCCCCACGCCTACACCACTGAACACATCGACGCCCATGGGCACTCCGGTACAACGAACCGGGAAACGAATAAACAAATGAGTCAACAATGTATCTACAACGTATCGACATCCGGCCAAATGCTGACACTAACATCAGCAGACCAGACGGCAAGAATGCCGATGCAGCATAAGAACCTAGCATAACCCTTATATATAAGAACTATGTACTTAGATTTGTAGGCTTCTTGAGAAGAACGAAAGAAATATAGAATTACTCTTAAGTTTGAACCCAAAGCGTGAAGTTGTGTTACTGAATCCCATACAAGTGCCTGAACAAAATCTCATGCAAAGTGCCGACAGCCGACTATAAGCGAACCACCCAACATCTTTACTGCTGTTATATTCACCTCCCATCATTCGGCCCGAATGGTAACTCGCGCGCTGGCCCTTTAATTTTGTTCCTAATAATTGTAACGGCTTGGAAGTGTCCGCTACTACCTGTATAATCTTCGAATAGTTCATAAGCATCGGTGGCCAATTCCCCCCATGCCACGTATTCGTCCTCAATACCGGTAAAATCGGGGATTGACTTTACAATATGTCACGGAATATCACACGGAGTTGCATTCGGTTTTACAGATACTCTTTGGTGGGTCTCTACCACTGGCACTTCTACACGCAAATCTTTCAACTGTTGATTAACAGCACTAATTTGATCAGCAAACTCGGCTCTGGTCAATGCGGCCTGAATTAACATTTCAATCTGGGCCGCGTTCATTGTGTACTTGTTTTTTTCCTCCTCTTCACTATCACTATCTAAATCGCGCTTTTTTTTTCCTATATGGGCCTAGAAAACTCATAAGGCCCTGGTAACACTAAGCACAAGTATAGACAGGCCGAATATTTCAATTCGACAGAAGATAATTTGGCGTATGAAAATATTTATTTAATTAATATTTGCCTTAATATGCGAGTCACCTTTACAGTCACACTTATTTAAATTTAATGTGTTAAAATCTTTTGATTAATAATTTGTAGGGATCAGTATTGAAAAAAAAAAATTTTTTGTTAAATAATAAGTAGGGATTTTTTATTTTTTCCCTGTGGGGACCCCCTTTGGGGGTCGTGAATTCTTCTTTTGTTGGGTGCCAATTATGTTTTAGTTATTTCCCTGGGTTGTCCCACGCCTCAGTCCGACGGGAAGGGGTGATGACGTCAGTACGACTTGGTCGGCCTCTCGATCGGGGAGGGGAGCGGATATCTTCTCTGCTCGTGATGCGCAACGTTTCGTTGCGCAGCTTGGTATAGGTTTAGTATATGTTGGGAGAACTTTCTCCGTTATTGACTGCCCTTAAGGCTAGCCAACCAATATAAAATATGCAGCCTCCGCTGGAGTAGGATTCTTGAGCGTGTGCTCTTTATTATAATTGAAATCAAACTGAACTTATTCTATTTTACTCCAGCTATTCGCGGCCGGCAAGCCGACCGCTCGTCCAGCAAAGTGCTGACACTAGCAAAAACTGCATATCTCCCAATACTGGGAAACCGTTGGGAACCAGGCACGGCCCCTAAGGCTTTTATGCTGAATTTGCATATAAAATACTAGGGTAGCGACCCTGAACTTATACCGACTTAAGTTTACTCATTAACCGTGTTAACTTACATATTTATTTAGCACCCTAGACCAGAACGATAGGGATGAGTTGTAAGAATAGAATAGAATAATTGAACATGGTTATAGACGTAATCAACAGCGGAATAGACATTATTAACAAGCTCAGAGCAGAGAACGAAAAGAACCAACAGATCGCGATATTAATATTCAATTTACAACAATTCACAGAATATATAGAGGATATCGATTTGGAAATACAATTAACTAGGCTAGGAATATTTAACCCGAAACTATTAAAACATGATTACTTGAAACAAGTAAACTCAGAGAAAATGTTAAGGATAACAACATCAACATCAAAAAAAACGAACTAAATTCTAATTATTTCCCATGTTTCAAGCGAAATCACAAAAGTTCCAATCTTTCAAGTAGTTCCTTTCCCAGATGAACACGGTTACATTCTAACTGAGCAAATATTTGATAAGTTTTATATTTTCAATAATCATAAGGATAGAGTTGGTAATATTTGACAAGTTTATAGTTGGATTAATCAAACAGGAAGAAACTCAGTGTAAATACACCATGACACATACAAGTTTTCAAATCAATTACATAGAACCGAACCATATTACTAATTACATGGAATCTACCAGAAACCGCTATCAATCAAGATTGCACTAACAACAAAATTGTAATATCAGGAAATAACATTGTAAGGATTAAAAATTGTACAATCCAAATTGATGAATTCATAATTTCAAAGCAGATCTTACGCAAACAGTTTATATTACTAATGTTACATGATAAGAACCAATATCCCATTTACAAAAAAAGGAATTAATAAACGCTTATGTAAATCACTACAATATATTCCTAATTATATGCGTTACAACTTTCGTTATTATGATAATAAGCTTAACCTTTTACCTAGAATATACAGTGGGGAGCAAAAGTGATTCCACGATCAACGTTTTCATGTTTGAGCTCACATAAATATTATACGAATAATGTAAATGACAAAATTTATGTATACAAAATTTTATGTATATAGCCAAATAGAAAAATAAGAAATGGAATAGTTATGATTTAAAAAGTAACACAAGCGGCTTGTACTCAGTATTGCACCATCCAATTGCCGAATCCAAAATAATTCGCCAAATTCCACCAACTAGGTATTTTCGCCTACAATTAAGACAACAGAACAAGTGCCAAGACGACGGAAATTCACAATTTTTGTTCGTTTTTGCGCGAATATTAAGAAAACTGTCAGTTTCGGGCGCCATGAAAATCCGGAAGATTTTTCCCAAAGAAAATTGTTTAAAAAAAAGGGACTGGAGACTAGCGGCCTAGCTGGGGAATTTCCACTGCGAGGACCGAAGAAGGTTTTCGACCGAGTTTGTTGCGCGGGCGCAGCCATAAGCTTCGACATTAGTTTAGCGATTTTTTTACCGAGCAGCATCCGAAATGTACAACGATGCGCAGCGCGGAAAGCTTATCAGTTGTGCTCAAGCTAGCGCATAGCCGAGTGGGTTCTGCTCTAACTAATAAGCTTTTTATATTATATACATTGGTTTTTTTTACATTTCATCTCCAGATAATTCCAGTATTTATCTAAAATGTTACGGTTACTTCACTGATACAAATACCCACGATGATGTTGATCGACGAAATGTTATGTCTGCAAGGTCAGCATATCAGCGGATATCTTTTAGCCTTCGCAAGCGGCGTTTCTCCGATATGTAGCGAAGTTTGATGACTTGAAGAGAAGAGTGGCTGTTGTATTGAGACCTCGGTGGTCGCTGTGTTAGGTTTGTGTGGTGGCACGAGGGGTTTTAAGGAGACAATGGCAGCTGTCGCTGTCGGGTACCAACCCAGTTAATTTCCCTTCCCCCATTTCCTGCAACGTTTGTTAAAGTTCATTGTTTCAATCAGGTAAGTAAAGTTTTTCCTATTGATTAATATGTAAATTAGAATAGCCAACTGTGTTCCGAATTAGTTGACTGCGAAAAGTATGTTTATACATATGTATATACGTAAAGCTTGAAAAATACAAAGTGCTGTAATAATAATAATAAGAAACTCATAGGAATTCGATTGTGCTATTTAATATTAAAATAATAAAACTAGCCACGGCCAGGTCGAAATAAAAATTTAAAATGGGCCACGCTATTGTTTTAGGAAAAAGTTTTCATGCGTCTTTGTTTTCTTGTACCAATTCAGTAATAACACCCCAATAGCAACAACGAAAACGTTGAATTTTGGTTTAAAAATGTCTTATCTTTTATAAAAAATAAATTATTATACATTCATTAAAATACGAAAATAAAAAGCCATTCTACTGTCCACCTTACAATTAACGAAGGGTTCTCCCTTGGTTGGCTCTAGATACATAGATACCCTCATCAGCTAAGGGAATGTAAACAATTTTGGGACGATGTGCTCTAGAAACGCCCAATCTAACTGAAAGCGAGGGTACAGGTAAAATAGCAGGGCCCCGCATAACAATGAATAGGAAATTATTGGAGCCATTTATGAATTAAGATAAGATAAGACTTAGTACTTTCGGTGTATGTGGCTGTGATAGCTGTGATTTAAATATACAGTTAAAAACACAAGGATGTGCCATAGAACTTATTGAGATTTTAAATGCTCATACGTTGAAAATTAAGCCCTTTTATAAATTTAATTGTGTAAATTAGTAAAGTAGCGGGCGACTCCTATTTACATATCGGCTTGGTAAAACAGTTAAATGAACTATCAGTGTTTCCCCAATTGCCGGACGTACTGAGCAACATTGACGGACTTCCCATTTTTAGAGTTCTAGGGCACAGTAATGGCCCATTCTTCCAAGAATATATAATATCCATGGCCGCCCAGTATTGCCAATTGGTATTTTTATGGGAGATAATGAGCCTCTTAATTGCAAAGAGTTTTTATCACAAGGTAGGTCCGAAACAACCATCCTAAAGAATAACCATCCGAAATAACCATCGATGAGAATCTGCGTCCAATTTTAGTCAATTTTTATTATACACTGGTATTGCAGCTCTTAATGATACAATTAATTATGACCAGTGTTACTTATTCATTTTGATGCAGGCTGCTTTCCTCTCACTTGCAACGAGAGCCTTCTTACTCTCTTAATAACTATTTACAAACTCTTAAGAGATTTGTCCGAAAGCCGAAACAAATCTTACAACAAATTTATAGGAACATTGTTGAGGATAGTGATTTTCGAGTGAACAATTATCGTGTATAGTTAAAAGGTACTATTTTAAAAATGAACGAATCTACACATAGGAATAAAAGGTATATAGTGACGTATTTGCGCCACCCAAACCGGCCAATTTAATTATTTCAAAGAACTATAAACAATAAAGCACTTAATTGATTCCCATACTGTATGCCATCTGCGCAGTATGCGTTTTAATAAACAATTCTTTGGCAACGGCACTTAGCCGTTCTTGTAAACAAATCCTAAAGCCTGACCCAAGCAGCTTTGCCTGCTCTCAATGAAGCTTCTCCCACACTTAAGTATCCAAGAGCAACGCTCTCCCAAAATACAATATTCCTAAAATACTGAGGCTTCTCCTCAATCTCACTTGCATTTGATTTTTAGTCTTAAGCTGAATACTGAACAATAAAGATCACAATCCAACCCGATTTGTAATTTCATTTTTTTGACAAAACTTCGGTTACAGCGTTGGTCTTAGTTACTGCAACGGTCCATTTAATAGACTCAAA